AGAAATGACGTGACTTGAAGCTGGCTATGTTAAAGCCCTAGGTTCCTGGGGGCTCCCTTAGCACATGTTCAGATTGGGGGTCCAGACACTCAAAGAGGAGGTGCTGATAGAGTTCCTAGAGCCCTCCCCCTTCCTGTCCCCACCAATCATGCCACAACCCAGCCAGGCCTGGTGCAGTGAGCCTGAGGAATAGTCTAGGACTCAACTGGGAGAGCATCCTTGCTACCACCCAGGGGGGATCCTTGTTGAATGGTGGGCTGGCTGATGTTGGTTGGCACCATCTGTACCATATCTTCCAGAGAGTCCTTAAAGAATCTGGGCCCATAATTCTTGCCCTGTATTCATGTATCTTTATTTTTAGCTGCAACTGTTGGGGTAATCAGAAATGGATCTGAAAGTAGAATGGATCTATCTTAATCTTGCTTTGCCTGGTTTTAGTACTGCAAGTCCCTGATCCCAGAAAACCCATCAGTCCTGGGCAATCAATTTTTTTTTAATATATTTTTATTTCAGAGAGGAATGAAGGAGATAGAAACATCAATAATGAGAATCACTGATCAGCTGCCTCCTGCATGCCCCACACTGGGGATCCAGCCGGCAACCTGGGCATATGCCCTGGCCAGGAATTGAACCATCACCTCCTGGTTCATAGGTCAACCCTCAACCACTAAGCCACGCAGGCTGGGCTAATACATCGTACTGAATAAGCATGTGTTACTTTTCAAGTTTCCACTTCTATATCTGAGGTAGGTGGGGAAGTTATAAATAAGCCAGGTTACATATGAAAACAATGGCTAAGAGCTCCTGATTGGCCCACAGTCTCATGGTGAGTGAATGACAGGACCACATCCAGAATCTGGGTTTCGGTGTCTCGAAGTCAAGCTTGGTGCTTTCCAAGGTAGAACCTCTGGGCTGGTAACATGAATGCCTTTCAGTTAGAACTGTCCTCTGAGATCTAATGTTTATGTCTATGATAGGTATATATTAAAATCTACCAAAAACATTATTATAATGAGAGACTAACATATATCTTATAATCATAGATCACTGTGACATAATGAAAATTTTTAATAGATTTGAATAAAATCAATGAACATGTTTTAATCCATACAGCTAAACATTGTACTACTCAGAGAACAGACTTTTCTTTCCTCCTCATTTCATAAGATTGGCTAACCTTTCATGGGTAGTTTATCTTGCTGAAGACAGAAGCAAGTTTGGGTATTACTGCCTTAAAATCTTTTCAGGGTACAGCTATGGCAGTCAAGGTACATGGAGTCAATTATTGGGGCTGAAGTTTCTCTTCTACAATAGATATTCAAATTTCTATTCCAAGAATCTTGGTTATGGCCTGGTACACAGTTCAAAATGAAAAAAAAAAAACTGCAAAGAAATCCCTTTTGAAAGAAAAAAATTTCTCATGGGCCAAGACTTACCTTAATTAACTTTTATTAAAATGTAACTTAAATATTACACTCATAAGGACAGTTCTAAATACTTATACTTTATAGCTTTTACATAGCTAAAGTGGAAAAACAAAGATGTACGTAAATAAATATAACTATCAAACTTTAAAAATGTCAGATTAATAAAATGAATTCACTGCAACACCATTTGGGGTTTAACAATAGAAAGAGGTAGCCTCAGGTTAACTTAGTACATGTTATCATTTCTGGATTTTGACTTCAGCAATCTAAATGCAGACAACACATAAGCATGTTATGCAAAACAATATTAGTAACATCAAACATGTATCTAATGTAAGAGGAAAATATCAAAATTATCCTGGAGTGACTACATAAATGAGTCATACTAAAAAAAAAAATAGTAATCATCTCTAACATTTGTTGAACCTTACTATATGCTCCACACCTTTCACATGTAATACCTCTAATCCTCACAGTATCATATAAAACCAATGCCACATATTTATCCACATATTATCATAAGAAGAAACTAAGGAACAGAGAGGTTGACTAACTCACCGGAAGTCTCACAGCCAGTAAGTAGAGAAGTGGATCTGAAGTCAGGCAGTCTGGCTCCACTTAACCATTGTCTAAATCCTTGCTTTGGATTATTAGAGGGTTCCTCACTCTGCATTAAGTAGAAATCTAATCCAATTAGTGCTGAAACCATCAGCAGTAACTTTTTCATTTTTTTACTACAACACCTGCTGCTAATAAATTGCTGAGACACTGTCCATATGCGGGCGGATCTGGCATGAGAGCTGTTTTCCTTGCCAGTGCAGTTCTTTTGAGTTTGGCAAGCCTACGCAGGCTCACCTCTCTCTCCACATGCCCTGTGTCCATTCCCCTCCTCATCCATGCTGGGACCTGGCTCACATGGGAAGATACCGAGGGTCAGGCCCAGCATTGGTTTGGGGCTGGCTGTCAAGATGACCCAGAACACATTTTTATTATTCATTATGGAAGACTATCATTGAAATGAAACTACTAGTTTTTGAGAAGACACAGATCCCTCAAATGCCATATATCCTCAGATCCCTCAAATGCCATATATCTTCAGATCCCTCAAATGCCATATATCCTCAGAACCGTGGTGTGGTACCATGAGCTCACATGGAGGGACACTATAAAACACAGCTGAAGGCAAAGACATGGTTAAAGATCATTCCAAACACTGTATCATATTTGACAAAAAGGTTGTTATTTTGTGTTTTTATGTTCTGGACATGTGATGTTTTGTGTTTGTATTTTTGCTGCACAGCTCTTAACACAATCTGTAATTGCATATTTATTGGAGAGATTTATCTTGAATGTCTCTTTCTTGCATTCGCCTGTAAGTGCCATCAGGGCAGAGACCATGTCTGTGTCTTACAGAACGTGGAATGTTTGTTGAGTGAACAAGTGAGTGAATGGGTCAAAAAATAAATAAAACACAAGTCATGGGCTGGTCAATTTCCCTTTATGCATCAGCTACTGCAAAACGGACAGTTGGATTTGTTCCCCCTCATGAAGGTGTAGAGGGTCTTATGTTTGTGCTTTTGTATTCATCTCATTCTTAACACCATTTTATGTCTCTGCCCTTGGTTTCCTGTTTTTCTTTCCCATGTACTTCTTAGTTTATGTTTTATAAATTCCTATAAACTGTCTTAAATCCCTTGTGGAACAAGGTAGGTCATAAATATATTTACCAAAGCCTGGTAAATATATTTATGACCTACCTTGTTCCACAAAAAAACACATTTATCACCTGTAAACTCAAGAGAACAGCAGAAGTTTGCTAATTCCAGCATTATAAATTTAAAGCAAATTCAGCCCAGCCTAGAAACTAAACGTGGTGTGTCCTTTCAGGCCACGTCGTGCAGTGTATTTGTGACAAGTACATTTCTCAAGGGGCCGAGCAATTTGGTGGAGAAGAAAGAACACAGGGCTTGCTACAGAAACGTTATGGATTTTGGATCAGAGAATGATGTATTGTTAGTGGTGCTCCAAGATGCACTGACAGCATACTAATACCGAAAAGTTTGTCATCACTGCGCCCTTTTGGGGTGGGGCTTTGGGGGAGATCCAGGTCCACAGGCAATGAGAAATGTCTGGTCACGTCTCGGAAGGAAGGTGCAACATGATACAGTGAGCACATGAAATGGTCTAACCCCCTTTCTAAAAATCACTAATGTTTAGTATTCACTTGCTAGCGGGCAGACGGCTACAAGGCTGAAACTGCAGTCACCTTCTCTGGTCTTATTCATTGAAAGTACTTTCACTTCAAATGTGGACCAACGACTTTCCCCTTAGCAATGAAGCATCATCTTCAAACCCCATTCCCGAGGACACCCCTCCCTGCCCAAGGTAAATATCGGACCCTCCTGCCAAAGCTGAAGGAGGGGAGCCTGCCCCTCCTATCATTTGCTCCCCTCCTTTAAGGTTACTCACAGAACACAAAGTGTGCGTTTTGGAAACTGAGATCTGATTTCTGATCTTTATATTGTATAAGGCTCCTCTGAGTCAGTTGAATTTTAGATGACACACTGCTACAGGAGGCAAGAGTGGGTGTAAAGAAACAGACGGGTAATAATCATGGGTCACAGATAAATGACAATTTTAAAAAAAAGAGTTTGATAGGGTGTGGGCTGGTGCTTTTTCTTTCTCTTCCCCTTCCATTTAGGGGTGTGTGTGTGTGGGGGGGGTGTGATTAGAGAAAAAAACGAAGGGTGAGTCAAGGCAAGACAATAGGCTACACCCCAGCGCCTGATCAGCATCCTAAAGCAGTCTGCCCCTCCCTGCCTTCCCCCAGCACCCGGCTGGCTTTGGTAGAGATTTCAAAACAAGCAGACGCTGGGCCCCGCCATCCGGACCCAGGGTGGCCTCCACTAGGGTGCAGGAGGGAGGAGAGGCGAGGGAAGATGGAAGCTAAGAGATGAACAGACTGCCAAGACCTCCCGGAGGCGCATAAAAATCCAAGCCCGCTGGCACCCACTCACTTGCCAGCCCCCCTGCTCCTAATGCAAGCGGCTGCCGGCGCCCCACCTGCTCCCCGAAGCTGAGGAGTGAGGCGCCCAGGCCCCTCCGACAAGGCTACCCGGGGAGGGTAGTGGCCGAGCGGGAGGGGGAAGGAGGGGCGACCGGCCCTGCGAGGCTGGCACCCGCCCGCCCTGCGGGGAAGAAAGCCCCACCTGTCAGGCGCTGCGCCCCGGACCCGCAGGTCCGACAGCCCCGCGCAGGGGCCAGCGCCAGGCAGCCCCGCTTCCAAAGAGCCTCGGATGTTACATCAGCAGCAGACAGACACCTTTAGGCACAAAACCCAGACGCACTCCCGGCCCGCCCGCCCGCCCGCCGGGCTGGACCAGTCCGGGCGGAAGGATGCTGCAGGGGCTCAGGTTCCATGAGCATCACCAACCCCCGGCGAGCCGCGGCGCCCATCCCAGAGGCGGGCTTACCTTCTGCACGGCTTTGCATCCATCTCTGGGCTTCCACCGAAGGCTGTTGTTCTTGTTTTGTTTCGTTGATTTTTTTTTTTTTTTTTCCTTTTGGATCTGCTTAATCAACGCGCCCGGCTAGTGTGCAGAGCAGCGTTTTCTCGCCATCCCGCAGCCCCGCACCGTCAGAGCCGCCGCCTGGAGTCCCACCGGCAATGCAGCTTTGGTCCCCGGGGACTGCCCACCGCAGAGGCTGCCGCTCCCTGACAAAAGGCGCTCGTTCCCGCTCGCCCCGCACGGCCCCGCCGCCAGAATGAAATCCCTTTCCCCCGCACGCGGCTGGGAGGAAATGCGAGCTCTCCGGCGGCGCAGCGCGCTGACAAAAGGACGCTCGGCGGTGCCCACAGCGCCCCCTCCAGCGGGCCCGCCGGGCCGCCGGGCTGCGGTGCTGCAGTGCCCGCCCCCACCCGCAGCGCCCCCGCCCGCGCTGCCGCAGCCCCGCCGCCGAGCCTCTGCCCACGTCCACACCCACACCACCAACTGCCCCAACAGCCAAGAGCCAAGACGAGGATTTTGTTACCAGGAAGAAAATCTGAAACGAGAGCTCCCTCAGAGCATACCTCCTTGGGATTTAGCAAAAAAAGAAAACAGTCTTACTCTTGGCCTGTTTCTTGTCTAGGAGGGACATCTCGCCTTTAGAAGGCAGCACTACTGATGATCGGAATAGTGATTGTCTGGCCATTTGAATCGCAAGCCGAAATTATCCCTATCCCAAGTCTGAAGAGAACAAAATTGTTGCCCTACCCTCTCAGGCTATGGGTCCAGCTTCCTCCAGTTCTCACTGCCTCCTCTTCTCCCCTGCTCCCCTCCCCACCCCAGAGAAAACAGGTACTTAGTGAGTGGGGAACTGGGTGGAGAACCAGAATACTTGGTCACAGTCTCAAGCCTGCCATTAACTAGCTGTGTGACTTCCATAAAGTCACTGAGCCTCTCTGGGCCTTCCTCTGTAAAATGACAGCACGTAAAAGGCGGCTCTCGTTTCTAGTGCTCCTGGCAGAAAGTAGGGACATCAAGTGGCAGCTTGGGACTTTAGACCCCAATCATCGCCACCAGCTCCCCAAAGCTCCCCTAAATCAACATTCACTGCAAGTGTTTCTAAAAATGTGATTTCAGGGCAAATTCAACTTCCAGAAAAGCCCGTGGTCATTGCCCCCAACAAGGTCCCTCTGCTCCTTCTAGGTTCAGGGATACCACAGTCCTAGACACCCCCATAAACACCACCAGACTCCACCAAAGTGCTGCAGCAGAGTCAGAATCGCTGGAGGGGAGCCCAGGAATCGGTATTAGTGCCAAGCATCCCTAGTGATTCCTTTGCATACTAACACTATATGCAAGCTCCTACTGAGAGAGAGAGAGAGAGAGAGAGAGAGAGAGAGAGAGAGAGAGAGAGAGAGAGAGAGAGAGAGAGAGAGAGAGAGAGAGAGACTGGCACAGCAACCCTAGAACAACTGGCAGGCATTCCATTTCAGATACCAGAGTAAATTGTGTCTTTCTGCTCTAGCTCCTCCAATTCCTCCATCCCCAGGTCTCTACTCCTTTTCCTCTCAGAGCTGCTCACTCATTCTCATTTCATCTTCAGAATCACTAAGTCCACAAGCTTTCTCCCCATTCTCATGTCAAAATCTGCTCGAATTACAAGCAACTCGCCCACCAGGACCCGAAATCTGTCTGGCCAGAACCAGGAAGAGATGTATTTATTGACACATTTTAGTTAGCTGTGCATTGTTATGGACTGATAATATCTGGGGAGTCAGGAACCCCTTCACCAGAGCCCCCAAATCACAGGTATGGTGGGCCCTTTTCAGGAAATAAAACCCAAAAAACAGAGTACTGTGTTTCCCCGAAAATAAGACCTACTTACAGGTTTCCTTTTGAGTGAAATATAAGGCATCCCCTGAAAATAAGTCCCCCCCCCCACCCCAGGCTAAACATGAGAGATTTGGTCCACTGATTCTGAAAGAAATGGAGTCACAAGAAATTCACCAGGAAATTCAGGAATTGGATTATTATGATGATGTTCCAGAAGATGATGACATGATTGTCATTGAATAAAAGTAAATTCTTGATACTGTAGGATTCTCAGTTTGTCTGGTTTGTGTTGACAACTACCGTACTACCATACCATATACAGGTAATAGATTTCCTTTATTTTCATTTAACAATAAATGTGTACCATATTCTTCTTCATGGAAAAATAAGACATCCCCTGAAAATAAGACCTACTGCATCTTTGGGAGCAAAAAGTAATATAAGACACTGTCTTATTTTGGGGGAAACAGGATAGGGAATTTTTGTTTAGTCCACAAATAGCAGGTTTCATAAATTTCCATCACTCAAAAAATCCATTTTCCTGGTGTGTAATTTCATTTTCAAACTAATAATAGCAAACTCTTGTTGGCTCCTGCCACTGTTCTCAGGGCTTTACATGCATTTTTATTCATTTACTCTTCTGAGGGTGGTACTCTTATTGCCCCATTTTATAGATGAAGAGACTGAGGCACAAGATGATAGGTAACTTGCCCAAGGTTGCATAACTAGTGGGTGGCTGAGCCAGGATTCAAACTCAAGTACTATGGCTTCAGAGTTTATGAGCCCTAATCACTATCTCGCACATGGCCTCTTGGAAGAGACAAAATACTGATTTTTATTTTTATTTTTTTAAATATATTTTATTGATTTTACACAGAGGAATTGAGAGGGACAGAGAGTTAGAAACATCGATGAGAGAGAAACATCGACCAGCTGCCTCTTGCACACCCCCCACTGGGGATGTGCCCGCAACCAAGGTACATGCCCTTGACCGGAATGGAACCCAGGACCCTTCAGTCCATAGGCCAACGCTCTATCCACTGAGCCAAACCGGTCCTGGCAAAATACTGATTTTTAAAAGCCAAACTAGTTCAAGACACCAATAAAGTTGATAAGGCCAAAATATTCTCCTTTCCCCAAAAAGTTATTCTGCTCCTCTAGCCAATAGAGTCTAAAAAATAAAATATAAATATCCCCCCAGCTTCTCCCAGATGCCATCTGGATACAATTTATGAGTGCTGGGAAGAGTAGCACCATCCGGTGCCTTCAGAAATCGTTTAAGAGCCAGGCAGAAAACAAGACTTTATTGTTATATTAATTTCCATATTAATTGCCTAGATGAAGTTTTAGCTAATGTTCTGAAGTTCTCTCTCATTCAAGTCCGAACTCACTTTGAAATCCAGTGAAAGAAACTATCACTATAGTTGGCTCCACAGACTGTGCTAGGAAGATCCCTGGTACTTGGAGTCCCCACTGCTTGGCTTTTTTTTTTTTTTTTTTAATTTATTTTATTGATTTTTTGCAGAGAGGAAGGGAGAGGGATAGAGAGTTAGAAACCTTGATGAGAGAGAAACATCAATCAGCTGCCTCCTGCACACTTTCTACTGGGGATGTGCCCGCAACCAAGGTACATGCCCTTGCCCAGAATCGAACCTGGGACCCTTGAATCTGCAGGCCGACGCTCTATCCACTGAGCTAAACCGGTTAGGACCTCACTGCTTGGCTTTTAACTAGGGGCAGGGCAGCATCAGAGACTGCATGTCAGACCCAGAAAAACCACATTTGGCTAGCCCCCAGTGACCAGTTTAAAATCAGATTTTCTGACTCATTTGCAATAAAATTATTCCTAATCTCTTTACAAAACTTTCCAGCCAGCAATAATTTGTTAAAGAGAGAAGATGGCAATATAATAGACACCCACAGTGTTCCCGTCTCTTGGTGTTCATGCCCTGTGTAATTCCCTTCCCTTAGGGGCTAGTGGGGCCTGTGACTTGCTCCCAACTAAAAGAATACAGCAAAGGGGGTGGATGTCACTTGTGACTGTGTTACAGAAGATTCTTGACCTTGCTAGCTGACTCTCTTGATTGCTTTCTTGGCTTGAATGCTTTAGGCAAATAACCATGTTAGGAAAACTTAAGTGTCAAGGAACTGAGGGTGACATCTGGCTAGATCCTTCCCCAGCCAAGCTTTCAGCTGAGACCCCAGCCCAGACTGCCACTTTGATTTCTGCTTGAAAGAGACCTTGAAGGAGAGGATCCAACCAAACCATGCTCAGGCTCAAGTCCTGCCCCATAGAAATTGAGAAAATAAATGTGTTAAGTTGCTAAGTTTGTGGTAATTTGTTACACAGAAGTAGATAACTAATAGATTGTCTTAGCACTCGCCAGCCCAGCCATACTTATCTACAGCTTTCCCCAGGGTGTGCTGAAGGAACTGACACTCTAGGGCAGGCGTCTTCAAACTACGGCCCACGGGCCACATGCGGCCCGCAGAGGAGTCTGATCCGGCCCGCCAGGTTTTTTGGGCAGTGAGCGCAGCCGAGGTGTTACAGTAGGAATTAGTAGTTCGTATAGTCCAGCCCTCCAGCTCTCTGAGGGACCGTGATCTGGCCCCCACTTTAAAAAGTTTGAGGACCCCTGAGGGGTCAGCTCTCAACCAATGACCATCAGGAGTCCATGGATAAAGGGCCTAGGTCCATGATCTGAGGTGTTGGAAGGACACATCTGGGGCATGTGACTTCATAGAGGCAGGGCAGCTGCCCATAGCAGTAACCTGCTCAGTCATGCATCTTTCATAGGCTGCTTCCTTTCCAGCATCACTTTCCCACACCCCTGTTGATGTTTCCTTTCCTCAAGTAGTCTATAAATCCTGGTCTACTTTTAGGGGAATCTAATTTAAGACAGGAGATGGGGCCCAGCCAGTGTCATTCAATGGTTGAGCATCAACCTATGAACCAGAAGGTCATAGTTCTATTCCAGGTCAGTTCACATGCCCAGGTTTCAGGCTCTGTCCCCAGTGTGGGATGTGTAGGAGTCAGCTGATCAATGATTCTTTCTCATTGTTGATGTTTCTCTCTCCCCGTCTCCCTCCCTCTCTGAAATCAATTAAAAAAAAAAAAAAAAAGACAGGAAATGTGGGACAGTGCTTTCAGAGCAAGAACAATGATAAATTCTAAGTCTAGATCTCCTGAAGACCCCCCTCTCAGCCATCTTAAGAGGCCAGGAATAGAGATGGGATTGTACCAGCTAAGACACTGTCAGTTTGAACTATAGGGGACAGAGAAAACAGGACAGGATGAAGATAGGTGTTGGACTTCCTGGATTCTACAGGACCAGACCATAGAATTATCTGGTTGTAAATTGTACATGCACTACTCTTCAAGGAGGCAATTCAGAAATCAGGGTTGCCGCTCTGACCACAGGCCCAGGAGGCAAGTTTATCTCCTCCAGGTTTCAGAGGGCAGAGCCATCACTGCAGAGAGCTGTGTTGGGGGGAGGGGATGATGGGGGCTGGCATGGGAATAAGAGGGGAATGATGCTGCCAACCCAGGTCTCCTGGAAGGTGGGATATTAAGCCAAGAGGATTGTTGTGAAGTCATAAGTTCTAATGGAACTTGCCTTGCTAGTTTTGAGGCCTTCGTGGGACCCACCATCCTTTATTCTTTCCTATTCCCCTTTTGGAATGGGAATGCCTATCCCATGCCTATTCACCATTGCATTTGGAAACACATAGCTTGTCTGCTTTCCCAGGGCCACAGCTGGAGAGGAGTTTTGCCCCTGGGTGAATCATACCCAGAGTCATACCCACAGTGATATACTTAGATAAGATTTTGGACTTCAGACTCTTGAGTTGATGCCAGAACGTGTTAAGACTGTTACAAAGGAATGAATGCATTTTGCATGTTGTAAGAACATGAGTTTGGGCAGTTAGGGGCAGAATGCTATGGACTGAATTGTGTGTCTCTCCCTCCCCCACCCCCTGCCACTCCCTGCCAAATTCATATGTTGAAGCCCTAAACCCCAATGTGACTACTTGGAAACCTTTAAGGTTAAATAAGGTTCTAAGGGTGGGACCTTAATCCAATAGAATCAGTGTCCTTATAAGAAGAACAGACTAGAGCTTACTCACACTAACTCTCTACTATGGGAAGCCACAGAGAGAAGGCAGCTGTCTGCTATCCAGAAACCAAACCTCCTAGTCCTTGATCTTAGCTTTCCCAGTCTCCAGAACTTTGAGAAATAAATTTGTTTAAGCCACACAAGCTATGGTATTTTTACAGCAGTCCAAGCTAGCTAATACATGTTTTGTGCCTCAGTTTCCTCATCAGTCAAACAGGGATAATCATGGCTACCTATTAGGACAGTTGTGAGGAAAGCTAACATAGGAAAATATGGAGGACAGAACCCAGCTACTTTAAGTGCTATGTCTTTTCGAGGAAGTGTTATAAAAATGAAGACTACCTCTGTGCTCAAGGTGCATGGCTGTCCAACTTGCACAAAGGTGCCATGCGGCCTTGGCTAGGTATTGAGATAACCCAGAAGATTCTCATTCCCATTGGCTAATAGTTACAACTCCACATTCTGCAAGCTTTAATTTGTATTCTTCTTAAAGGCTAATTTTCCCAGGAAAGGGATCAGTTACTTATTTCTCAGGTAATGAAAACAGATGGAATGAAAGATATTAGGTGTAGGATCTGAGAGATGAGGAAAGAGACCACTGGAGGGGTTGGAGAATAAGAATGAAGGCTGACAGCCCTACAGCCTTTTTTTTCAAAGCATGAAATTAAAGAGAAAGTACAGTTGAGTAGATTTGTAACAAGGAAGGCCATTTACAGGGTAATTGTAAACTTTGAATTATCACACACACACACACACACACACACACATACACACAAACAAACAAAACAAAACAAAAACAACAACAAACTTTAAAGACTCCAAAATTGAATTTATTTGTCTGCAGAATATAGGCCTGCACCAGTTTTTTTCACTTTCCATATTTGGAACCTGAAACACAGATGAGAGTTTACTGTAAATGTTGAAGACAGGAACAGACAGGTCACAAAAGAAATGTCTAGAAACTGGTTCATTTATTTTTTATTTTTTTAAATATATTTTATTGATTTTTCACAGAGAGAAAGGGAGAGAGATAGAGAGCTAGAAACATCAATGAGAGAGAAACATTGACCAGCTGCCTCTTGCGCACCCCCTACTGGGGATGTGCCCGCAACCAATGTACATGCCCTCGGCCGGAATCGAACCTGGGACCTTTCAGTCCGCAGACCAACACTCTACCACTGAGCCAAACCGGCTTCAGCTAGAAACTTGTTCATTTAATTAGTAACCAAAGAAGTTTGAATTAAAGACATCATTTTTACCTGCTAAAATTCTATCATTTTAATAGACCCCACTGTTGGCAAGGCTATGAATTCAGCACTCTTACAGATGACAGTATTATTAATTAGCACCTTGCATCAAGTCATAGGTTGTACCTACCGTGGCTCAGGAGTTCTACTTCTGGGAATCGATCCTTTAAAAAAAAATACAGAAAGAGTAAAACACATTTGGTTATTTGCCACGTTTATGAGAACAAAAACCTGAAAACAAATATCTGTTCATTAGAAAACTGTCCAATTTAATGAGCCATTAAAACTTGTAATAAAGACCATATATAAACCTCTAAACATGCCAATAGTAGAACAAGGAACAACAGAATACACAATGTTATCTATCCCATGATAATTTAACTCAGTTGTGTCAAGAAAAAAAATATTTGAAAGCATTTTAGAATATTTCCATCAGCGGTTTTACAAAGATCATTTTGTATCTTCTCGAATTTCGGAAATCTCAACTTGAAGAAAAAACAAATGCATGGCTAAAAACAAAAACTCACTCAAATGATGGTCAGGCAGTTTGTACATTGGAACCTAGATGTGTGTCATTGTGGATAATAAAATACCAAATGCTTTAACTTAGGTTAAAGTTCTTTATTTCCTGGTCCCCCCTCATTCACATTTCCAGAGTGAGTTTTGTTAGAATGAAAGGCAGGTAAAGGATTTAACACTATTTCCCACATCCCACTGACTCACTGAATATCGGGCAGCTTACTTAAACTTCCGTCCCTTAGTTTCCTGACATGTAAAATGGATATAATCGTCTGTACGTCACAAGTTGGTTACAAAACTTAATAGGCTACGAGGTACAATCTTCCAGGAACAGTGTCTGGCACAACATAAGTATCAATAACTTTTTCCCCCCTGACCTTGATTAAGCCTTTTCACTATACATGTGATCAAGCTTTATTTTCTTGAGTTCAAATTTAACTTTACACCTTTTATTTTAAACGTTTTTATATATCTAGGAGGTTTTAAATCTAAGAGACAAATTCATGTCTCTTACTTGAAGGGTCAAAACGTGGTTTAATTTTACCTGCCTATGGTCTAGTATATTATATATCATTGTCTTTGTTTTTTTCTTAAGAGTTTCCTGGAAAACTCCAAAAAGGCAATGTTTAAGTATCAGAATATAAAAACTTAAATTTTATTTAAAAAGTAAAGCCTGTTGGCCTCATCTAAGTCAATGTGTTACAGGATCAAGAAGAGTGTGGTCTGAGGAACAGAAACCCAGCTTGCTGCCCAATTCCCTTAATAAGGCAGGTGTACTCCTGTTGTTGGGTGTGTCGCTGGATAATTTGACATATTATCCAATGTACCTTTCCCTCCAGCCACTCATCAAGGCTTGGGGTTGGGATGGGTGGCAGCAATAGAGAATGGCAAGAATTGGATGGAAATTTCCCTCAAAGGTAGAGGCTGGCCTTCCTTGGACAGACAGTGCTTTGGGTTAGCAGAAAACCAAATGCTCAGTCCGCCTAAGCTAGTCCTTGAGAGAGGTCAATGTGTCCTTCCACCTTTCCCCCTTATCCTAACCCTGGGTTATCCAGAATAGATCAAGGGCCATTATACGTCAGAGAAATAAAAAAGAAAGTATTGGTCTTCTCAAATTATGCTCACTGATGGGGTTAGGAGCACAAACCAGGTAGAGTTCTTGCCAAACACACTTCACACACATACACATGCATGCACACACAACATACAAAAACCCATTTCCATGATTGATTCGACCTTTTGTTCTCATAGAAAAATTAGAGTTCCAACAAACTCCCTCTCTTATTTTTGCAAAGAAATAGAAATGTGTCTATCCTCTAACTTTTTTAAAGATCTTAATCAGATTTGGCTTTAAAATTCTTCCTTGGGTGCTGGTTGGATCTCTTCCTGAGTGGCTGTGGCCTCAGGAATCCTCCACCTGAATCACTCCAGAGTCAGATGGAGCTCGTCCTGCATGTCCCAGCTCTCACCCTTCCAATGTTCCAGAGAGGATGACCAGATTCCGCATCATCCCAGTACCAACCCCTCAGTGCCCAAGGTTCAGAAGACACAACAGCCTCCTAGAGCCAAATGCAACCACTGGCACAGCATTCCCTCTGAACCTCAGTGCCCTTCCTTGGTCTGGGCTGCAAAGTTAAATGCCTGAACTGGTGAAGTAATAAGGGGTGGTGAGGACCCACAAACCAGAGAACACCCACCCCATCAAAAAGGAAGTTCAGTTTTTTAAATTCTCTGTTGGCTAATCTTATCAGAAAATGGCCCCTAGGCTACTTGTGAATATAGAGGCGAGGCAGACAAAAGTGCTTCCCAAGGAAAAGCCTAGGCCCACCCCACTGCTATGGTTAGGGTTGTCGCTAAAACACTCAGCCACTACCTGGGGGAAATGTGAGAGGGAAGACAGAAGATAGATGCTTTCCCTGAGTGATTATAAATTAATCCCAACTCATTTCAGAGCTTAAAATGCCATTAAAAGAAATGTCTGCAGTGATTGCTTTACTCGGAAATTACCACAGACTGCAGAGGAAGTAGTAGAAATCTACCACCCACACAGGTTTCCTTCTCCCAGAAACTTTCCCAGTTCTGCTGCCAGGACTGGCCAAGACTTAGAAGTGTGTGGTGGAGACACATCCGGGCCTTATCCTAGACACCATGTTTATCCCTATATCTCTTTCCAGAGCTCCTCTAAACCAGCACAACTGGCATCTCACCCAACACTGAAGGTGGCCTTTGCACAGGGACACAACCTCCCCAGAGTCACAGACCACTCTGAACAAAATTCAGAGTCTTGTGTAATGTGAAATGCCCACATCAAAGCCACGCATGACCCATGGAGTAAACAATGGTGGTTTATTCAACATCTTGCCACCCAGCAATGCCCAATCCCCAAGCAGCAAAATCCTACATCTGCAAGTCCAATTCTAAATGAGCCTCGTTTAGACCTTGACATGAATCCCTACCCCACTCCGGCCAGATGCTGTGGCTTCACCTGGCCCATAGCCCTCTCTATCTACACACATACTTGCTGATTCAGTCCCCTAAGTGAACCTACCCTCGCCTGAGAAATTAATCTCCATTCCCACCATCAGCAGATCTTATGTCCTTCGTTTGGAACTTTGCCTCTCAGGAATGTTGCTGATCTTGCACAGCCTGTTCAGACACATCCCCAAATCCCAAAATATGACCATCTCTGCCAGCATCAGGAGTCCACTCCTCAAATCCTCTCCCAGGGCAAGACGGGGTAAATGGGACATGGGGTTGGCAACGTACTTTTAAATGGGTCAGGAAAAACATTCTTTGTACCGTTCTTGCAAGTTTTCTAAAAGTGGATTATTGTTTCAGAATAAATCTTTTTACTTCTAAAAATGATTTGAACATCAAAGAATAAGAAACCCTTGACAAACCTGATGAAATCCTAGAACACTTCTGCAAAAAAGAACTCTCTATATTCAGGCCTTAGAAAGCACACTAGACAGAAGTTATATGCATCTATTAAAAATCCAAAATTTATTCTTTGTTTATCCTAAGAACAAGAGGTCCGATACATGATATTTGTGGGGGGTGGGAGGGTTCCTAAGCCCAACCAGTGCCCTCTTGCAATCTGGGATCCCTCAAGGGATGTCCAACTGCCGGTTTAGGCCTGATGGGGCCTAAACTGGCAGTCAGACATCCCTCTTGCAATTCAGTACCTAACTGCCCCTCTGCTTGCCCCTTACTGCTTGGCTCACTACTCCTAGCTCCTGCCATGGCCTCTCCCACCACTGCTCCCCAGCCATGAGCCCGGCTTCTGGCTGAGCAGCACTCCAGCTGTGGGAGTGCACTGACCACCAGGGGGCAGATGCTCAACCAGGAGCTGCCCTCTGGTGGTCAGTGCACATCATAGCAAGTGGTTGAGTGGCCTTAGCATATCATTAGCATATGCTTTGATTGGTTGAATGGATGACCAGACAACTGGACACTTAGCATATTAGGCTTTTATTATATAGGATTAGCAAACTCTTCCAATTAAACTTGGTTAGCTAAAAGACTAAAAACAAAGTGTTTTATTCCGTTTTTAAAGGAAATTTTCAATCAGAACTTTTGTTTCCTACTAGAAAAAGTTAATTCCTACTTTAAATCAATTTACTAGAAATGGCCTATCTCCAGGATCACTTATCCTTAGAAGACATGGGTCTCCTCTACATCCTTGCTGCTGGTGTCACCAACATAGGCTTGCTCTGCTAAGAGGCCCAACAGGACTGGCAGAAATGAACAGTCTGTTAGCTCACCATGAGAATGGCATGTTGATGCCCACCTCATCAGCATCAGTGGGGATTAAATGCAAGTAAGATTCTAGCCTTACTATCTAGTACATATTAAAACTTACACTTATGGAAGCATTACAGTTATTAGATAGCCAGGTTCAAGTTTCAGTTCAGGTCATATCTACATTCTTTTCTTTCATTCTCAGTCATTTGCTGTCAGCTCATGTAGTAGCAACAGGAATTCTGTCTCCTAAGGGTTGACTGGCAAGGGAAGGTTTATGTCTCAAATGGCCCAGTAGTTGAAAATCTAGACGAAGCATGTGCACAAATGGAGTACTTAGAAAAGAGTAATCAAATCAGAAATGGTAACCAAGGCCAGCCAGTCAGCAGGAAGCCTGTAAGGCCTCAAGCCTGAGTGGAGCATTGGTGAGAAGCACATGATGAACACTTGCTACAAACAGAGCTAAAGTTCCTGTGGCTCATTGTTGATTCCTCACCAATCAATGTGATTGCTGCTGTTGCATCAAGCAGACTTAATAATGTATGCCCAATTGAACATTGACATGCCAGGTACTGTGCTAGACACATCACTGACATGATGCCATTTGAACCTCACAGTTATCTTACATACAGGATAGGTATAATTATCCTTCCCATTCTACAGATGAGCAAACTGAGGACTGGGGAGATTCAGAGTCAGTAGCTCACCCAAGGTCACACAACTAGCAAGTGGTAGAATCAGGGTTTGAACCTCGGCATTCTATCTCTAAAACCTGCACTCAACTGCTATTCAAAACAGCCTCCCATCACTAACCATCACTTGTGATTCCGCAGCCCTTTTCCCCTTATATCAGACTAAGCAACTTGCTTGGTACATTTAGTTCTAGATACCCAGAAGTCTTTCATATTCCAACAGCAATCATGTCATTGGATGGAGTAAGGGATCTCATTTGTGTAACACTGAGACACAGCAAGGACCAGAAGTCCATTTTCTAAACTTGGAGAAGCAGGCTATTTGAGTGGCTTCTTAGCTTGGCAGAGTAATAAGGGCTGTTACAATAAACTCCTTTGTTATTCCTTAAAAAATGCTTCCTTATAACAAGGCCAATTTTTTAACTGTATGTGTGTGCACACTTGAGTGTGTGTGTGTACATGCTTGTATATGCTATGACCATGCAGCTTTATGTATGGCAATCTAATACTTATTTCTTTTTCTAGAGACCTCAGAGTCCAGAAAACCTTTTGATATATTAATTAGGGTCATAAAAAAAATAAGTTTAGGTCTATGATAAGTGGTTCTGGAGGAGTTGGCTTCCCCTAGGGCTGCTTAGCAGTTAACTTGGGAACATAATAATAGATCTTCCCAACTATCAATAGCAAACTCCATCTCCCAACCTAGGTGCTTTCACAAAATGATCTTGTTTCAATAATGGTTCATCATAAAAAAAATACCACACACCTCAAGGGAAGCATTTTGAATTTTTTTTTTTTTTTTTACATCTATATTTAAGAAGAAAGACTTTACCATACTCCTGGCTGGGGAGTAACTCCAGTTGCAGACATCATGCTCTGGCGACAAGTGCATGCTGATCCACCACTGCCACCAGCTGCCCAGGGCCCTTCCTCCTCATTCTTCAAGCCCACATCACAGCGAGCATGTTGAGTGCTGTTTCCCAAGTGCTCTTTAGCCATGGATATATGTGGTTCAGAAGTATGGTTTATATAGTTCTGATGACCGGGGTTTTGTTTCTAGAAATCATATTTAGTTGTCAAATGCTATGACAGTCAGACTTTGAAGATTTAAATCAATATATTTCAAAATGGTAATGGATAATGTTTCGTTTAAGTTATAAGGGCGATTCTTAAGTTGTGGAAAGAAAAATCATTGCTCAGTGGACTGTATTTTGTTTATCTATAACCTAAAAATGTTGTGTAATGGGCCACTACACTTAAAATATTATAGCTACGTGGAATAGGTCCTATACTTTAATGAAAACAGCACAAAACTAAGCACTTCTGTTACACAATAAACACACACACACACATGCACGTACACACATGAAGGCAGCCACTTGTATATCTGCAAACTATGGCCGTGCTAAACCCAGCTATCCAATTTAGCCAGTCATTCCCACACTGTAGAATGTGTCCTTCCGGCCATCACGTAAGAAGGACTAGAAGATAAGGGGGGGGGGGGGTGGCCTCAAAAAAGTACAATTATGCACCTGGCTATTTCTGCCCTAAGTTTCTAGCACGTTTGTTTCTCTTCTAGCATCTGTCCTTCTCTTCTGTCCCTAAACATGGTCCCTCTGCTACTTGGAAAAGACCTTTGCTGGCTCTAACAGCTTTTCTTCTAAGAACAAGAGGCCCAATACATGAAATCTGTGGGGGGTGGGAGGGTCCTCTCTTCATAGTTTACCTCCTCCGAAGACTAATCCATTCTCAGGCTTTCAAGATTTGCCTCTCCATGGAATGAGTCCATAAAACCAACCCTTATCTTCCCCTGCCTAATGGACACTTCTGAGCCATGCATTCTGAGAACAGTGGTGACGTTATGGTGCCTCACGGATTGCAAAGAAGGTTCATTTGATTGGTATCAGCAGACTATGGCTGTGCTCTCCAGCAGGATTATCCCTTAGGGAAGACCTCTCCTAAGGGAGACTCCTTTGGGATAGAAATGCCTCTTCCTTCCTGGGTCCTGTCTGATGCTTTTCTTTTTTCTTTTTTTAATATGTTTTTATTGATTTCAGAGAGAGGAAGGGAAAGGGAGAAAAAGAAATTGAAACACCAATGATGAAATCATAGAACGGCTGCCTCCTGCACACCCCTACTAGGGATCGAACCTGCAACCCAGGCATATGCCCTTGACCGGAATCGAGCCTGGGACCCTTCAGTCTGCAAGCTGACTCTCCACTGAGCCAAACCAGCTAGGGCTGATGTTTTTCTTGCTGAAGAGAAGCCACCACCACAGGGTGGGTTTATGGGAGCCTCCTGTCATGACCCAGCTGTCCAGGTCCTATGCAAGACTCAGCATTTAGGAGCTCAGGGCCCTGGGCAGTGACAGAAGGTATATAGATGGTCAGGAACTTGGCTCCATGTCTTACCCAGACTTACACACTCAATCCCTGCTCCTGACATTTCATAAACTTGTGGCCGTTAGCTGTATTTTGTGTTCTTCCTCTGTCAAATGAGGACCACAAATAACTCAGAGGGTTGTTATAAGCTAACTGGAATGTATACATAAATTGCCTGGCACATACAAGGGCTCAATAAATGACAGATCTCATTGCTCTACCTTCCTAAACCTTTACCTCCGAGTCTTTGGCTCTTTCCAAAACATCACTGAGGACTCGTATGTATTCAGTTGCACCTTTAAGAATATCAACTTTGCTGGGCTTCCTGCTTTGAGGAAGAAATGGCACCAGTGCCTTCAGTTTGGAAAACCCACGGTTGAGATTTTTTATCTGGAAAACAAAAGCAGCACAGTGAGGACAGAGAAGCTAATTTGTACAGACATCTCCCCCCCCAAAAAAAAAAAAAAAAAAAAAAAACAACAACAAAAACACACACACAGAAGGGGGCTTTGAAGACTCATGTCCACAGCTCTCTTGTCTGGGTGAGGCATCTAAACAGGCACAGGCCACAGAGGCACCACTCCACCGACAGTAGTCCCTGGCAAGGAAGTGACATAAACTCAGCACTGCGGGTGGACAGGTGAGAAGGAGTGTCTATGTTCACCGGATCCCTTTCTGTTCCTCTGAGAACACAACTACGTAGAGGCAGTAGGGGCAGTGGCTAAAAGCTCTGAGCACATAAAACTGGATTGAAAGCCCAGCTCTACCATTTCGCTTTACAAGAGTATTAGGATACTTCATATCACCAACACTTGGTTTGCTTATCTGCAAAATGAAAAACACATACCTTGTAGCTTTTTTTTTGTTATAACTCTTCAACTTCTTGCCTAGCTGAATTGATGACTTAGAGTTAAATGTTAAGAGTCCAGAGAGTCTGCATGTTGGTGAGACTCAAAAGGTAGAATGAGATGCCTCCCTCCCACCCCCCAAATCTCGAGGGTCTAATTCCTCAGCTCCAAAGCCCAAAAATGTGACAATATCCCTCTGGGGGACATAGGCCTTGAAAGACCTGGCTCCTACCATACCATAAAGCCAATGTACTCACATAGCAAGCCACTCCCACACCACATCAAAGCTGACTAAGGACATAGTCAGCTCATTCAACACAGAATAACATAACCAGGAAACATGAAATATTGAACTTTAAAAATCAAAGAACTACAAATTATAATAGAAATAGGTGCCATTTTTCATGTGCCATGCTGGTAACATTTTTGTTTTGGTTTGTTCATTATACCCAGTACTGAGGGTGGAAAAGGGAATGATCCTACATCTTGTAAAGGGGGATTAAAAAAATGGTAACTTCTCTAGAAAACAATTGGACAACTTGTATCAAAAGTTGAGACTGTATGTATCCCAGTAATTCCACATCTAGCATTTTATTCTACAGTAATGAGCAGGCATGGGCATAGATTTATGTACCATAGTAAGTTGCAAAGGACACACATGTCCCACAGTAGGAGACTGGATAAGTTATGGTCCATTTCTAGGTCAGTCCATGCCATTAAAAGTTGCTCTTTGAAAGCATGCTTAGGGATATGAGGAAATGCTTTTGATAATGCTAAGTGAAAAAAATACAAATATATCTTCAATATGTATACTAGACTGTCACAACTTACAGAAAATTATATATAGGGTGTCCCTCAAAAATGTATACTTACACTTTGAATAACTTCAAAGGCAGTGTTTATTAAAATGCATTTCATTTTCAAAATTGAGCTATCAATTAAAGTGTGTATACATTGTTTGGACACTGTATATACACATATAACTAGAAAAAGACTGAGAGCATGTACACAGAGAATGGTGGTTCATAGACATCATGTTTGTGCTATGTGTGTTTTCTGTTCCCTATATAATCATTTCTATATTTTCCAGGCATATTCATTGCATCATTATAAAGAATAAAATAGTGGATTTTAAAACTAATCACCTTTATTCTTTATACTGATGCAATGAATATGCCTGGACAAATTCTCCACAGAAAGCCATTCCTTCTTGGTGAGAAGGCCCACACAAAATGCAAAATACTGGATCCAAATCTTGTTCGAGGGCCACATCATTACAGCAGATCACAGGGTTATTTTCATGAAGAGTTTGTCTGGTAAAATCATGCTTCTCCACTCTTGCAAGTTTCCCAGTTTTCCTTTAAGTCTTTTACTCTTCCTTGGTCCTTTCTCTGCACACTCTTTCCCAGGCAAAGCTCCTAGTGATTCACGGGGGCTACGTTTCTAAGGTGCAGATGGCGGCCAGCTGGGCAGTGGCCCCAACTGCTGCCACAGCAGGTCCTCCAGCACCTCGGCGTCAGGGTGCCCAGGAACAGGCCTCAACAGAACTTCTTCCTCAAGGCCCAGCTTAAATGCGCGCCCTGCCTCTTCCCCCATTCACCCTTCCCTCCCTAGGATCCTCTTCTGCTGCAACCCAACCTACAGACTGCAACTGATCTGACAAGTTTGGGGGCCGAGTTTAATCACAAATACCCAAAGCTACCACTAGATGCCGCTCCTACTGCGGCCCACAGGACCAGTCGGGTTGGTGATTGAGCGCGAAGCCCGCCTGACTGGGGAATGGGCACTTTCTCTGCTTTGGCAGGGGGTTGACCGGGAGTCTGGTGCACACTGGACTTGGGGGGAAGGGGAGACAGTTTTTGTTTGTGTTTGTTTGTTTGTTTGTTTGTTTGTTTAAAGAGTAACTTCCGTTAGGCTCCACTCACCCCGTTTGTGCTTGGAGACAGAGACGCAGAGGTCGGGAAAGGGGTGGCGAGAACCCTGCACGCCCCAAGCGCCCACCAGCGCACTCGGTTGTGAGATTTAAACCTTTAAAAGCACCTGCCAAGGGGAGACATTTCTGAAGTTGCCACGGGCCTCCTCAGCCCCGCAGGCGTGTGAGCACAAGTCCACGTGGGTAGGCACGTGAGGTGCCATCTCAGCGGCGGCGAGTGAGCAGCTGGACCGGGGTGGAGGGTAACAAGGCCACTGTCCTGCGCCCAGGCCAGGGCACAGCCGGCCCTCGGGAGGCCCACGCTCCTGGTGGGGGGGGGGGGGGGGGAAGGCACGGAGGGCCAGCGAATGGGTGCCCGGGGGCCTGGCCAGGTGGTGGGAGCTGGATAGCGGGGACGGGGGCGAGGACAGGGGAGAAAGTCACTCCTGTCCCCGGGCGGTCTGTGGGGCGGCCGAGCCCGGGTGGCCTCGGGGACCCGCGGGGCAGGCGCTCACCCTCTCGCGCTCCTTGGCGTTGGCCACGCGCCGCCGCTCCAGCACCAGCTGCAGGTCCTCGGTGGACGAGTAGCCGCCTGAGGGCAGCCGCTTGAGGCGGCAGATTGCGGCCAGCTGCGGCAGAGGCCCGAACTGCTCCTGCAGCAGGTCCTCCAGCACCTCGGCCTTCGGGGTGACCAGCAAGCCGGGCACGAGATCCATGGCTGCGCCCTGGGCTGGGGGCCCCCGGGGCCTCTTATCCTCTCACTGCGGGCACCTGGGGCCGCACGAGGCCCCGGGCGCGGGGGCGGGGCCTGGGCCACCTGCCGGGCCGGGGGCGGGGCCTGGGTCACCTGCTGGGCGGGGGCGGGGCCTGGACCACCTGCCCCCATAACCCCCTCCCCTGCGGGCAGGCCATGTCCCACTCTCCGGAAACTATATATTTCTCTCTGTATATTTAGATGGATAGGCATGTTTTAAAAAGCATTTCATACTATTATATATTGGTATTTCCAACTCCAATCCAACACCTCAGGTTTCTCCCTAGTTTCCCCCTTTCTTATTTGTAACTTCCCTCTCTCTTTAAGAAATATGTTTTAATACATATTTATATTTTTTAATATATTTTTGTTTGCTCTAAGTTCATTTCGAAGCAAATAGAAGGCAACAGGAGCCAAATGTGTGGGAATGGAGCCGAAAATGGAGATAGTTGACCCATTTACTTAACTTTCCTTGAGGATCACAAAGGACTTTATTGACATTGTTCTGTTTTTATCGCCAAACCCTTGCGTGGGCGTGGACTAGCTGGTGTGTAGCAGGAACCCAGTGTAAGAACCTTATTCTTTCACTAGAGGCCTGATCCATGAATTCATGCAAGGGTGGGGTCCCTCGGGTGGCCTGCGGAGATGGGGCCCCAGCTCATGCCCCCTGCCAGTGCTGCGTCGCCCCCTGGTGGTCAGTCCACATCAAATCAAGCAGTCAAACTGGTTTCCCTGTTGAACTCACAGTGGAACAACTGCCCCTCCCCAAGGGGACAATTAGCATATAGGTTTTATTATATAGGATATTTGCTCCCCTTCCTCAACTCCAACTGGAACTTTCTGGCCTCTTGGCTGTTAGAGTTCTTCATTGAACCACCTGTTCAGAGGGAGCGCAGTCTGAGCTAAGTTGTTACACCTGATAGGGACTTAGTGCCGATAACTGGCCATCTCCCAATAGTGCAATGGTCTAACAAACAAAGAGTTTATTTCTCCTTTCTCTAACAGCGTGAAAGGCATGGATCAGCAGTGCATCTCTGCCCCTCATGGTCACTGAGGGACTTAGATTCTTCCCCAGGCATGCTCCTCCATCACTGCTCCTGGTTGTCATCTCCAAAAATGGAGCTGGTGCCCGGCAGGGATCAAATCTTGAAGCAACAAAGTCCCAGGCCATTCACCGCAGTCAAGGTTCACAGCAGGGTCAGAAACTCTTCTAGGCGTACCAGGTAGAGGCCAAGGAGTTAGTTCAGGGATTTAGGTGCTTATACGAGCTTTGGGAGGATTGAAGGAAAAGGGGGAGCTCTGAGTTCAAAAACACACACCACCAAACCTATAGACCAAGGAGCAAGGAGCCATTGCTCCTGTAGCTGCCACTCAGTCCCCCAACGCTGGGCAGGGGGGACTCTCTGAACCCTGTGCAGAGACAGTCCCCACCTCTGGGCTTGCCCCCAGGAAATAGGCAAAAGGCCAGGGAGGTGTGCTCTGCCTCACTTCCACGCTAGGAAGCTCGCACAAGTGTTCCTAATGAGATCACCTTAATTGCCCTCCAGAAGCCTGGGTACATGGGGCTCTTGGGAAATGGAGCAATGAGAAAGGGCAGCCTGGAATAGGGGAGGGAGGATGGGGGCTGAGAGAGACAATCCGTCTTACCTTCCACCCTGAGACACAGACATTGCTCCTTGCTCCATCTCATGCCCAGCATTTTCACCTCATCAGTCTGCCTGTTCATTGTCCTGAGGCTCCATGGAGAGGAGCACCCTCTCCCACATCTGCCATCCTGGTGCTCTCGGCAGCCCGCCATCATCCCAACCAGACCGGGGTGCAGACACAATTCCTTTAATCTCCTTAGCTCAGTGCTGCTAAAAAGTAACGTTAGTAAGAGAATACAAAAAAAAAAAAGACATTTTTAAAGGGATCAAAAACTTCAAAGAGACATGTCTACATTGCCCAGAATTCCTGTCCAAATTAACTTGGCAAGGTTACTCATAATCACATAAATTTGTATTATTATCTATAATAATAAAAGCATAATATGCTAATTAGACCGGACATTCTTCTGAACGACCTTCCAGATGAAGCCAGGGCTTCGAGGGAAGTCCTGGTCCCGGTGTGAGAGGGAAGCCCAGGTCCCGGGTTCCTGAGGGAAGCGGTGCCAGCAGCCGGGGGAAGGAAGGCCAAGGCCTACTCGTGCACAAATTTCATGCATTGGGCCTCTAGTTAATTACATATTATTTACCACACGGTATGTACTATTTTATCTCACTATATCCCTGGGAATCAGACTTAAGTCCCATTGTATAGATGAGAAAATGGATGCCAGAGAAGTTGAATGACAAGCCAAGGTCATGCTGCTGGTCAGTGGCACAGCCAAGCCTAGAACTTAGACTTGCTGCCTCCATGTAGTTCCTTTTCCTGGAGGTCTGAGTGGCCTCCCTCCCTAAGTCAGTTCCCCCCCCCCCCCCCCCCCCCGCGCTTCCAGTTGACTTTGTCCATTGGCAAGCAGAGTCTCGAGAGAGAAGCAGGGTCTGTGACACATGCCCCACATTCACTTCCTTTGAGGCTCATCCTCCTCCACTGGGCAGGAGCTGGGGTTAATGTTGGCCACGTCACCGGCAGGGTTAACAGTGGGTCAGACGAGGAGAGAAGAAAAACAGGCCCACGGGCTTTGTCCCCAGGACAGGTGCAGAAAGATGCCGGCAGCCTTCACGCAGGGGTAGGTGGAAGCTTAGAGCCGCAGGGGCTGTGGGGCCTCACAGACAGCTGAGACTCAAACAGGACCCCAGGGTCAGGTGGAAGAGCTGCCGTAGCACAGGGGGTCAGAGGAGCTCTGGACAAGCCATTCAAACTCGAGGCTCATCTTGCCACCTGTGAAGTGGAGATTTTAATGGAATCTTCCTCAGAGTTGTAGTGAGGGGTTCATTAGGCCACTGGCATAACAATAGCAGCTGATGTTGCACAGAAGGACCCATGTGCCATGTATGCACCATTGTAAACCTGTACACAAGAACTTTCTTTTTAAAAAATATATTTTATTGATTTTTTACAGAGAGGAAGGGATAGGGTTAGAGAGCTAGAAACATCAATGAGAGAGAACCATTGACCAGCTGCCTCCTGCACACCCCTTACTGGGGATGTACCTGCAACCAAGATACATGCCCCTGACCGGAATCGCACCTGGGACCTTTCAGTCAGCAGGCCAACGCTCTGTCCACTGAGCCAAACCGGTTTCGGCTGCAAGAACTTTCTTAATCCACACAACAGCCTCAAGGGGGAGGTACTCCAATATTTTCACAGAAGAACAACTGAGGCACAAAAGCCAAGTAATTGGTTTTCCCAGCTAGAAAGGGGCAAAGCTGGGATTGGACCAGTCTGACCACAGAACCTGGGTCTATAACCCCCACTCTCTCCTGATTCATGTAATTCCTACTGTCCTGTGAGTGATGGCGATAGCAGCAGAGATGATTTATGAGCCGGAAGAACGTCCAGAAATTCAGCCATTGTACAGATAAATCCCAAGGGCTCGTGCAGAGGGGTGTTCTGAGCACCAGTGCAAAAGCTGCCATCGGAGCTGGCTGAGAGGATGCTGAAGCACAGGGCTCAATTCCCATGGCCTGGTAGCTGAGATATGAAGAAAGGCTCATTGGGGCCACCTTGAAGAGGGCCTGGAATCCAGCCCTGGGACGGATACAGCTGGGAATGGGAAATGCCTGTCAGATATAAGAAGGTTAAGATTACAACAAAAGCAGGGCTTAGGGGAGAGTCAAGAAGCAGTAGGGTGCAGGCTGCTTTGGGAAAGATAGGGGGAGCTAAGAGGCAAATTTGCGCTGTGAAGACCCTTGTCCTGCTGGTCCCTTTTCTATCCTAAATCACCCTTCCCAAGAGCAACCCAGGCATCCTTACTCTTCTGTGATTTTTCCTGGGTCCTTCATTGACCATGGGATTGGTTGGCTTTGAGCTGCAGGAATTGCTGGCAGCAGATAGAGTTAGAGCGATTTATTACTGGCCCTTCTAAGTGAGGACGATACAAAGGGAGAGGGTCTTTCTGGCAGGCACACTGGGGGGACTGGGCCAAGGCCCAGGCCTAAATCTGGGTACAGTGTGTGGGAGCAAGTGTTAGTAGAGGACACTCAGAGTTGCTGACTATGACATGGGCACATTTTCCTCTAAACAAGTGCCTTTCCTCATCCGCAAAATGCTGAGACATCTTCCAGAATGTGTTCACTCTGACTGAGAAGTTGTCCCCTGCCCCCAGAAAACAGGCCTGGGAGGTCATTTCATGACAGCAAAGAAGTCTATGCTTCTTCCCCCTCTGCCAGAGTCAGGCTGTCCCCTAAGTCACAGTGTGAGAACCCAGCCTTCATCAGGTTGGGTCCTTGTTTCCAGGAAAGACTGGAAACCATGGCTCCGGGAGAAAAGGCTGTGGACATCAAGGTGCCAACAGCACAGCCCATGTGATGACAGTTGTCTGTCACAGACTGCTACTGCCACCAACACAACAACACCACAAGGGGCAGCTGTACAGGGTTTCCACAGCAGAGACAGGGTGGGGCAGGCCCTCCAGGGTGAGAAATGGCCACTTCCCCCCAGGATAGCTGAGGGCTTCACTCTGGCTCCTCAGATGGCTCCACTCAGTCTGCAGACAACTTGGTTCCTCTGCCATTCTGACTCCCTCTTGGGGAAATTGCCGCTTTCAGAACCTCCCTGGGCAGAGAGACAGGGCCAGCCCAGGCCTGAGAACTGACTCTGGAGTGAGCGGGAGAGAACCCTTCATGTTTATTTGTCCCTGTCCCATTACCCTTGGACCACAGGCTATGGTCGGCTGGACTGATGATGCAGAGCGGCCTGCTACTCCAGAATGTCACCTTCCTCAGGTTTCAAGCTCCACAGGACTCCTTGCTGTGACTGTGAGGGGCTGGGTATCCCTGCCTCCTACTAGAATGCCAACTACATGGGGGCTGGGACTTT